ACCAAAAAGGGGATATCAGGTAAGAATAAACGAAAGGCGAATACCTATGAAGATCTCCTAGGTATAGGTTGTACATTGCAGCATGCCGAGGACTCTCAGCCAACATGCATTGCAATTCTCCGCAGAAAACCGACACCATAACGTTGAACCAATTATCGTCAACAGTCTGGAATTTATCACTGCTTATCACTGCTATGAGCGCTGCATATATTGAGAGTCCACAATCCGTCGCAGGTTTCGCGCGATTTTCGCGATTACGCGATTCGTGCGGATCGCAAAAATTGCAAGTGCCCCATTTGAACATTTGAAACACTGAATATGAAACAAGTGGAATCATGAGCAGTCGTCATTCAGCCATCACCATCAAGCAGAAGAGGCGACCCTTACAGTATTTATGGTGCACTTGTGATTTCCGCGACCCGTCGCGTGAACCGCAAATCGCTTGAATCACGCGAAACCTGCGACGGATCGTGGACTGTGACACCTGCCTTATTGTTAGAGCAAAGCAGCTGTTTTACTCAATATATGCAGCGCTCATAGCAGTGATAAGCAGTGATAAATTCCAGACTGTTGACGATAATTGGTTCAACGTTATGGTGTCGGTTTTCTGCGGAGAATTGCAATGCATGTTGGCTGAGAGTCCTCGGCATGCTGCAATGTACAACCTATACCTAGGAGATCTTCATAGGTATTCGCCTTTCGTTTATTCTTACCTCATATCCCCTTTTTGGTTCACTTGTTGTCTTCGCAGATATCTCACAAATACCGATCAGTCGTCGCTTTCTACGTTATACTACCGACGCGCCGTGGAGATGGACGCAGATGTAGGTCAAGCGTACAATCAGCTTGCTTTGAATGAAACGCCGGTGAATTCTGTGAGGTCGGTCCTCAGTTTGTTCGGAATTTCTGCCTCCGCTTCAAAAGTAGATCGAAGTTGGTAGCAGCTTGGTACCGCACACATGTATCTTTTTGTGAACTCTTGATCAAATTTTGAATGACAAGTTCAATTTGAGGCTTTTCTTACTTGCCCTATTGGCTCGGAGGCCATTCCAGAAAGCCTGGGATAATCTGAAAAAGACGTTCGAGCAAGAAGTGAGCGGTCAAATCTCCTCATTTGCTCTCTCTATACCCTTCATTATCCTTGTGTCTTACAGGTAAATTTCTTTTCATTTTGTGCAACACTTTCTGTTGGTCTGTGTCCATTCAAGGAAAATTTCATCTCCCTATTTTTCATGTTGAGTTGTTTTTGCAGCAGAACTAATCTCGACAGTGAAGGAATCCGTCTGGTAGAGGCGATCAAATCGTTGAGTGATCCGTTCCATGACTCACAACTGGCGTCACTGCTTCTTATCTTATCGCTTAGTTGTCGACTGACGATGGAGAGTGGGAATGGTTAGCGCTATCTTTTCTTTGTTTCTGGTGAACATGTATCGTTGGTTCATAGGGATAGAAGCATTTCATATTGTGGAAATAGGATAGATGAGAGGATATATACAGGGTAGCGAAAAATCACGTGAGCTTTGAAACACGTCTAAACTCTATTTTTTGTCCCCAAAAATTTGAAAATACTTTATAGAACGTCAAACGACACATTTCATAATTTCGAAGTAGACTTGAATCTTCTTGAAGCTCTTCCACTCTTACACTTTATTGGCAAGCTTTCGGCAATAATGCCATCATCAGACCAATCTTAAAATTACAATACTTGCGACTGATCAACTGTTCTTATACAATAAACACGATACATCGACATACCAGCGATAAGGGAGTACGGAGGGGACCTATGAGGGTCGGGAACGAGTGAAAAATGAGACATCATCCCCGAGGGAAGGACTTCATTGATTACGTAAGAAGTCTCAAAAGGTCACGTAGCTCTTCCTTTTTGTTAATTTCTGGCCTGATTCGATGTATTTCCCGCGCTTCCATGATCTTTCTTTCCAGTGGCCGTACCAAATGTCTATGCAGAACGCTCACATTGAAAGATGGAGCGTCCTCATTCTCATGTCTCAACGTACGGTGTCTGGAGAAGCTGCTATGAGGATAAGCGGCGGGATTGGCCAACGCTCTCCTATGCTCGTCCAGTCGAATCTTCAAAGGTCTTGCCGTTTCCCCCACGTATTTTTCTCCACATCCTCTGCACTGAACAAGATAAACGGTGCCTTGGAGTTCACAGATCTTCTCTGATGTGCAGTATCGACAAGATTGTTCGTGGCACCGATTTTCATAAATTCGGGATGATGTGAAGAGATCTTTCAGGGTAGGAGGAGGACGGAAGACAAGTCGGATGGGAAGTTGGGAGTTCTTCACAACGCGGTTCACCTCACGTGCCATTTTGTCGTGGACAAAAGGCATCAATGAGGGTTATTCCGTCTGCTGATCTATGTGGAACCCAGGTCCTGAAAGTTCCTTCGAAGTATCCATTACTTTCAAGAATGCTTTCAACTTTGGTGTTCACAACTGGGTCCCTTCGTGTCCCTAACTTCTCCTTCGTCCTTAGAAGATTCCGCACGACATTCGCCTTCATATAGATCGGATGGGCACTTCTAGAATGCAACAAGATATCGGACGAGGCAGCTTTTCTATACCATAGGTGTTCCTTGTAGCCTTCACGTATTCTTACACTTGCGTGTTGAGAAATGGCAAAAAACCATCCCTCCCTGGATCTTCTCTTGTGAAGGTGATGTTCATATCGTGGGTGTTCAGTCTTTCTAACGTTTCCACAAGATCATCTTCCGTTGCTCCAATAACAAAGACGTCATCAATATAACGCTTGTAGAACAAAATTCCACTTGTTAATGAAGACTTCTCTATGTGGTCCAGAAAGATGACTGCTAACACCGGTGCTATGCGATTACCCATGGCTAGGCCTCGTTTTTGCTTGTAAAACTTGTTGTTGAAGCAAAAAATGTTGTATTAGGTACCGGATATCTTAGTGTCGCTTTTCTGAGTTCAGGAAGTTTTGGGGCCGATTACTATGGAAAATCAATATCTCCAGAAGGCAGTTTTTGCTCATTAATACTGCGAAATATGTTGCTTATTGTTTTCTATTGTTGGTTCACAATTTAACTTTCCCCCAATTTTTATACTTTCTTTTGAAAATTCCTGGGTCCAGTGTGCAAATTCGCATGTGTGTACCAAATGCATCAAAATTCTTGCTGAGAGCTACAACCTTCCGCCCACCAAACCAGCATTGCATTTGATGGAGGGAATACTACCATTTAAAATGCTCATCGGTTTTTCACAGTTTTCTTAAAAGACAGTAAAGTCTTTGAAGGGATGCCCGCAACCGTCGCCAAAAAGGTGGTCCTAGCTAAATCAGTCAAAACGGGGCTGCACCAGTCTTGTGCTGGAATGGTAGGACACCCTAGCAGTTACTGATCGATGGTGCACAGACGCTCTAACGAAGTTGATTGACCAAGAAATTCTAATAAATGTGCTCATCTGCTACTCACGTGTGCTCAAAAAGGGTGCGTTTTGACCCCATGTGGCAAAAAAGACTCCGGGAAAAATTGTCCAGTTGAGCTGGTAAGTAATAAATTTTCCACCATACAGTGCAGACCCTACTCTAACTAAATGTATACATATTTTGTCCAGGCCCAACTGTTTAGCAAGGTGAGAGGGATGATTTGTCAGATGATGTCAAATTCGACCTACCTCTCTTTTTCGTCTCAAAAAATTCCTAACTTTAATCGTACGAGGTTTTCACTCATACTGGTAAATGGGAAAGGGCTAATGAGTCATTCGATGGATATGCCGTTTCACTCACTGGATTTTGAATTAAAATATTGGTGGTCCGAAACTCGCGGTGAAAAAACGACACTAAGATATCCGGTACCTAATACCGTTTCATGATCTTTTATTTCGTTTGCGGAAATCCCATCGTGGGAACGCGACCACGATTTTCTTCCAGAAGGGATAAAACAGCTCGCACTGCGTCCGCATTATTCACATTGGTGTATAAGGATACCACATCGAAGCTCGCGTAGAAGGCTTGTGTCGGCACTGGACATTGGTGGAGCGCCGAAATGAATTCGTCGACATTGACAGCTCCGCATCCAGTCGCTCCTACATACATCTCCGCTCCACCGCACCACCAGTGCGAAAGTTGTTGAACTAGAAGCCAACCTATCTGCCGGACCACCACATGATGCGATAATCGGTCTCGTTTTGATTTCGCGTAATGGGAGTGACATTGTGTCTGCCGCTGTTGGAATTTTGTGCGTCTTCACCAGGTTGTAGAGAGTCCGTACTGTAGGTACCATCCCATGTCGTCGTTTCGGGCGTCGGCCGCCATTTTAGGCCCTCATACTGATTCTTCACCCCGTGTCCATGATGCATTTTTCACACCCTCCCTTCTTCCCGGCATACAGTTACGAACGTTGTAGTTTTTTGTTTTTTTTTTGTTAGAATTTCGAAGTAGTTAGAGAATAAGTAGCCGCAATCAGTTTTGACACAAGCTTCAATTTCTTTCTTTACCGGGTCGATGGTGCGGCGGAAGTGTTCAACGCTTAATTTTTTCCCAAATTTCGGATATTTTTTCTGAAGCAAACTTTTCCCATTTCGATTCCTTAACAGCTCACCAGCAAAGCCACAAACAGGAAAGTCCAATGAATCTGAATTCGATTTGTGAGCAGGATACAATTCCATCACCTAAACGTCGATAATCCCGAAGAAATGGATCGTTGTATTGGTCCATGGGCCGGAGCCTTTTCCTGTAAGAACGTGAAATTGTAGACTTTGCCTCCAGGGGACCAGGGATTTCCAAAATCTCTTCTTGATAGACCTGCTTTTATCGACAAAAAACTTATGGAGACTTGTTCAAGCAGTATGGCCCCAAACCATGAAACTCTTAAGGAACGAAATTCTTGTATTTTCCATTGACGAATACCTACAAGATTGAGATTGGGCTAAAATTCAGGGAATTCCGTAAGTACTTAGCCCATAAAACAGCGAACTTTTTTTGTGAAATCACCGGACGTCCTAGCGCACCTTGGAAAAATCCCTGTAACCTGTAACTAACACTTTTCCCTTCCGATCTTTTCTGAACGATCGGAAATAGTCCGTCTGCTACACGATAACTCATATCCCATGCTTCATTTTTACTATTATTTGAACAGATTTTTGCGAATTCCGAGCTGCTCGGCACTCTTCTTCAAGCTATATTGACGGTTTGGTCGCTTCCCTGGTTATTCTTTCCTTCGTTTTATCCTCTTATTCAAA